GCCGACTGACTTAAAAAAATTAGCATACATTATAAAGTATGTTTTATTTTTAAATTATGTATTTTTAATTGTACATTATTGTCAATGTTCTTAAGTTAATATTAAMATTTTCAAYTGTTATTTATACAAAAATTAAATTGATTTTTGGAGGATGAACTTACAACAAATAAAACAATATACACAAAAAGTTATTAAATACAAATTCTTCTTTTTTTTAAAAACTGACCATTGTTTGGCAATAACATCTAACTTAATATCATCTATTATGTCTTTTTCCGAGGAAAGTAACAGCAAATCGCTTAATCGGGAGTCACTCTGGGTTGTTCTCAAGTAATTCTTTACCAACTTTAACTTGCTAAATGAACGCTCATTTAATGAACAGCAACAGTTACTGGAGCTGTACACAATAAACGAGACATTCTATTAGCTATAGGAAGCATTTTTTTCGTTTGTTCCGAAACAGCTGCTACATCTGAAACAGTTTTCACTTCTTTAAATTGGTCGTACAGTACTTCTAACTCAACCAGTAAATGTAACGGGTCTACAACACATTGTTTGGGTAAAAAAGTGATTGCATCTTGAATTCCAGTTTCAGTTAAGTTATTCCTTGATACAGGGGGATTGAACAGATTATATAATGGTTTAATTGTACCAATACAACTATCTAAATGATTTTTCATCAGTGACGTGAGCTCATCTAACACAGATTTAAATTCTTTTCTATAAAATGTTTTAAATGATATATTAGCCGCATTATCTCTATTATTATCAAGGCGTTTAGGTACAAGTCGGCGTCTATGGCGAACTATAAACTCTTTTTCAGCATCTACATCAAAAGACTTCAAAAACGCAATTGAACTATTTATAAGATTATCCATACMATCTACGTCAGAATTAATAATATTTAATGATTCTAGAGTACTTGACATAAATATGATTGCATCAGCTATRTTAAGTTCGATTGATTCGAGACACTCAGTTAATAACTTCATCTTATACATAACATTTTTCATAAATAGAATACTAACAACAAAGTCTACAGAAATTAAACGTTTTGATAAAGAATACGCTGCATTTCTGGTGGATTTATCAAATTTGTCCTTGGTATTTGTTATTTCATCTAAAACTTCAATAATTATATCAAATGACGWCCAAACAGACTTAATCGCCTCCGCACGTGCTGTCCATCTCGTCTTTGACAAATTTCTTAGTTTCAATGCAATTTCAACATCAGATAGTTTGATCAGTAATGGTGAATATCGCTTTGTACTTGAAGAAAAAAATACATAAAGTTCTTGCATTACTGAAAACATATCGGATATTATAAGACTAGCTTCACATCCATGTTCAATGAATGTGTTAATTCTATGAGCTTGGCATGGAATATAAGGTATTTTTCTACCTAATAATTCTGTTAATTTTTGTTGTGCACCATTAAATACTCCGGACATACTGCTGGCAAAATCGTACGACTGAAAAACAAGATTATCAGGATCCAACTCGTTCTTTTGCAATGTGTCTAATATGTCATTTGCCATTCCTACGCCAGTCTTATTTAAAGCTTCGCGGACTTCTATTAATCTTTCTTCTGCTGTTCCTTCATTATTGACGAACCTTACAACAACTGATAGYCTATCTGTATGTGACAAATCAGGCGTAGTATCAGCCATAACAGAAAACTGACCAGATTCTCTAACTTTAGCTCTAATAATTTTGTTCACTGATGACG